CGTATTGGCAGCAGTACGCCTAAATTATATGTGGCGCGTGCCTATATAGAACAAAAAATTGCCTTGAGCAGCCATACGCAATTGGTAGAAGAGGATCAGAACCAGTTGCTGGCGCATGCAGCCGCAGCATATATTTCAGTAAGGGCGGGCAAATTCAGCGTTGCTGATTTTTTTGATGATAATACCTATAGCCACGATCCCCGCACTGATTTTATGAACTGGAGCTTAATGAGCGCCGGCGCCTGGGATTACCCGGCCAACACCCGTGGCTACACCAATGGCCTTGTACTGGAATTAAGAAAACCTTTATGGGCCTTGCGCAGCGCTGTAGTGCAGGTGCCTGAGTCGGCCAATGGACAGCAACTGGACAGCAAACTCAGCGGCGCTTTTGGTACTGTGCTGGAAGCTGAGAAGACTTTTGTCATCAATGACACTAAAAACATAGTAGCCCGGCTGGGTGGTTTCTATAATAAAGCCCGCATGGGCAATTACCTGGAAGCCATCGATATTGGCATTGCACAGTTTACCGCACCCGATGTAAGCAGTACACGGAAATACAGTCGTGATAAAAAAGGATTCTACCTGAATACAGCATTCAACACAGAAAAAGGCGGTGCATTTCTTCGCTATAGCCGCAATGATGGCAACAATGAGACATGGGCTTTTACTGAAATAGACGGGAGCTTCTGTGCAGGTGTTTCTTTTAATGGCACTGGATGGAAAAGACCTTCAGATAAATGGGGATTGGCGTATGTGGATAATAGCCTGGCCAAATACCACCGCGCTTACCTGCAGCAGAAAGGCTATGGCTTTATCATAGGCGATGGCAATCTTACTTACGGCACAGAAGACATCGTGGAACTTTTCTATAGTTACCATATTACTGCGCTGCACCTGTTTATAAGTCCGGACTACCAGTTTGTCCTGCATCCTGCGTATAACAAAGACCGGGGACCGGTCCATGTGCTGGCATTGCGCATGCACCTGGCTATCTGATGCTCCGGTTTTTCACTACGCAATTTCACCACAGATCAAGGGAGGTCTTTCACAAAGGCAAAGGAACCTATTACCCATAGCTGCCGCACTGGCATCATACAATCAAATAAATCCGCCAAATCACAGTTCAGACAATTTCACCACAGAGGTAAGTGAGGTTTTTCACAGAGTCAAAGAAGCTTATTACGCGCAGCTGCAGCGCTGGCATCATACAATCAAATAAATCCCAGCAATCATAGTTCAGACAGTTTTCCATAAATCCCGGTCCGGTTCAGGTAATTCTTTCGTAATTTGTTTCAAACACCGCCAAACATGAGAAACAAGTTTTTACTGCTGTTTTCTTCCATTATTTTCTTCAGCGCATCGGCCCAAAACAAACCCATTAAAATGCCGGACAGCAAAAAAGCCGTACTGGCTTCCGTAGAAAAACACCAGCAGGAACTCATCAACCTCAGCGATGCTGTCTGGAACTTTGCGGAGACGGCTTTGAAGGAATCCCAATCTGCCAAAATATTGGCAGACTACGCGGAGAAAAACGGGTTCGTGGTACGGCGGGGCGTAGCCGAAATGCCCACAGCTTTTATTGCGGAGTATGGATCGGGCAAACCCATTATCGGTATCCTGGGTGAGTTTGATGCGTTGCCCGGCTTATCACAGAAAGCGGAACCCGCAAGAGCCGCATTAAAAGAAGATGCGCCCGGCCATGGCTGCGGCCACAACATGTTTGGTGCTGCCAGCCTGGGCGCTGCACTGGCCATCAAAGAATTAATGGCAGCTGGAAAAATAAAAGGCACCATCCGCTTTTACGGTACGCCCGCAGAAGAAGATATTGGCGGCAAAATTTACATGGCCCGTGCAAGTTTATTTAATGACCTAGACATCTGCCTTGACTGGCACCCCGATTTTGAAAATAAGGCCAATATGCAGAGTTCGCAGGCCATGGTAAGCTACCTGGTAGAATTTAAAGGCAAGAGTGCCCATGCTGCAGCTGACCCCTGGAATGGCAGAAGCGCCCTGGATGGCGCCGAATTTTTTACGCACGGCATCAATTACCTGCGCGAACACGTGCATTCAAGCGTGCGCATGCATTATGTATTTAAGAAAGCAGGCGATGTGCCCAACGTGATACCCGCCGAAGCCAGTGTATGGATCTGGCTCCGCGATTCCAAACGGGCTGGCGTAGCCGAAGTAGAAAAAAGATTGCGCGAGATAGCACAGGGCGCGGCTACCATGGCTGGCGTAAGCAGCACAGTGAAATTAATGAGCGGCGATTATGAACTGCTGGTCAACGAAAGCGGTGCCAAAGCCCTGCAGGCCAATATGGAACTGGTAGGCCCCATCAGTTACACCGCAGCAGAAACTGATTTTGCCAATAAAATAATGGCTGCTTATGGGGGTGAACAAAAGGGCATTAACGGCAGCATCAAACCGCTGGAAACTACCCGCCCCGATCCTGACAATGGCTCTACCGACGTAGGAGACGTTAGCTATATTGTTCCGGAAATTACCCTGCTGGCTGCCACTGCCCCCTACCAGGCGCCCTGGCATTCCTGGGTAGTAGTAGCCTGCGGGGGCATGTCTATCGGTCACAAGGGAATGCTGTTTGCAGCAAAATCTTTGTCCGCCACCATGGTAGATTTATTTGAAAACGAAAAACTGCGGCAGGATATCCGCAGTGAATTTGACAAAAGAAAGGGTACAGAGGTTTGGAAGGCCATGTTGCCGGAGGGACCCCCTCCGGTGAAGTAATGCACCTCACCCCCAGCCCCTCTCCTGCTTCGCCGGAGAGGGGTGAATCCCCCGAAAGATGCTTCATTTTTATATGATGGCTTTTGTGCATCGAAAACCGCGCAAACAATGATGATTAATTTGCCGCACTGGCTCCATTAAATTCCTGCCGTACAAGAGTGCGACGCAAGAATGCCCAATAGCCATACTGCCGCCGGTGCCATAATATTGCCAAAAATCCATCTATCTATATTTTCTGTTATACGATCCCCAACGGAGAGACCTTCCGTATTGGCAGCAGTACGCCTAAATTATATGTGGCGCGTGCCTATATAGAACAAAAAATTGCCTTGAGCAGCCATACGCAATTGGTAGAAGAGGATCAGAACCAGTTGCTGGCGCATGCAGCCGCAGCATATATTTCAGTAAGGGCGGGCAAATTCAGCGTTGCTG